AGGGGATCGCGAATTCTCCCTCATATGAAGGGATCGCGAATTTGAGGGAATTGCGAATTCTCCCTCATATGAGGGGATCGCGAATTTGAGGGGATCGCGAATTCTCCCTCATATGAGGAATTCGCAAATTTGAGGAGATCGCGAATTCTTCCTCATATGAGGAATTCGCAAATTTGAGGGGATCGCGAATTCTCCCTCATATGAGGAAATCGCGAATTTGAGGAGATTGCGAATTCTCCCTCATATGAGGGGATCGCGAATTTGAGAGGATTGCGAATTCTCTTTCATATAAGGGGATCGCGAATTTGAGGGGATTGCGAATTCTCCCTCATATGAAGGGATCGCGAATTTGAGAAAATTGCGAATTCTCTCTCATATGAAAGGATTGCGAATTCTCCCTCATATGAGCGGATCGCGAATTTGATGGGATTGCGAATTCTTCCTCATATGAGGGGATCGCGAATTTGAGGGGATTGCAAATTCTCCCGCATATGAGGGGATCGCGAAGTTGAGAAGATTGGGAATTCTTCCTCATATGAGGGGATCGCGAATTTGAGGGAATTTCGAATTCGAAAGGATTGCGAATTCTCCCTCATATGAGGGGATCGCGAATTTGAGGGGATCGCGAATTCTCTCTCATATGAGGAATTCGCAAATTTGAGGGGATCGCGAATTCTCCTTCATATGAGGAATTCGCGAATTTGAGGGGATCGCGAATTTTTCCTCATTTGTGGAATTCGGAAATTTGAAGAGATCGCGAATTTTCTTTCATATGAGGAATTCGCAAATTTGTAAGGATCGCGAATTCTCCCTCATATTGGGAATTTGCAAATTTGAGGGGATCGTGAATTCTCCCTCATATGAGGAATTCGCAAAGTTGAGGGGATCGCGAATTCTCCCTCATATGAGGAATTCGCAAATTTGAGAGGATCGCGAATTTCCCCTCATATGAAGAATTCGCAAATTAGAGGGGATCGCGAATTCTTTTTCATATGAGGAATTCGCAAATTTGAGGGGATTGCGAATTCTCCCTCATATGAGGAATTCGCAAATTTGAACGGATCGCGAATTCTCCCTCATATGAGGAATTCGCAAATTTGAGGGGATCGCGAATTCTCCCTCATATGAGGAATTCGCAAATTTGAAAGGATCGCGAATTTTCCCTCATATGAGGAATTCGCAAATTTGAAAGGATCGCGAATTCTCCTTCATATGAGGAATTCGCAAATTTGAGGGAATTGCGAATTCTTTCTCTTATGAGGAATTCGCAAATTTGAGGGAATTGCTAATTCTCCCTCTTATGAGGAATTCGCAAATTTGAGGGAATTGCGAATTTTCCTTCATATGAGGAATTCGCAAATTTGAGGGAATTGCGAATTCTTCCTTATATGATGATTTCGCAAATTTGAGGGAATTGCGAATTCTCCTTTATATGAGGAATTCTCATTGCGAAATTGCGAATTTTTTCTTATATGAAGATTTCGCATTGCGAAAGTGCGAATTTTTTTTCATATGAGGATTTCGCATTTCTAAAGCCGCGCGCCTGGTGTGTGTGAGCGCTCACTGACGTGTGCCTGGCTAAAGGTCTGCGCTGATTGGCTTGATTTACTCAAGAATTACTCTGTTATTATAAATAATAGAAAAAAATGGTTCAGGATTTTTCGACTCAGTTTTACTCTTTCTACCTGCCTACGAGAGATTGTACGGCAATTCTGGGACACCCTGTATATGTATGCGTATGTGTGTGTATTAAATATAGATATAGAATATTACATATAATATATATAATATTCTCTTTTTTACTCTTTTCCTTGTCACGTGTTGTTTTTTCACTTCTCTCTCTCACTATTTTTTGAGTTTGATTTATGCGTTATTTCCTGACATCTTTTATATGTCTATTATATGGTTTATAAGACGTATATACTATCTGTCATCGCTGTGACAGGTTGTGTTCACTGACAACACGTTAAATAAAAATAACAATAGTGTGCGCGTTGCGCGCGCCTGTGTTGTGCTAGTAGATGAAAAACTATAAACTTATGTGCGTTTTCCAAATTCTTATAAATTCGAATAAATTATTATTATTATTATTAATGTCGTGCAACTGTATCTCCGCGGTTGGCCTAATATAACCGTGTTATTATTCTTATTTTAAAGTCCAGACGTATATATTTATGTTTGTTCGTGACAGTTCGTCGAATGATGATTTTCCCTAATGAGAAATACACGATAAGTATGAATTTGCGAGGGTGTCGTGTCTTCCTCGCAGGTTTTCGTAACGGTTCTGGCGCGGCGTCTTTCGCGCCGTCCAGGTTTAAGTATACACCACTGTGGGAGCTAAGTAATAACTGCCAATGGAATTAAAAACGCCGAAGAATCGCGCGGATAGTGGATGGGATGTACGTGACCGTACGTTGATAATTTTTTTGTCTATCCGATGACGGCGCATGTGCGCACACGGAAGTAGAAGAAAAGGATGCGCGCGAAGCGATATGTAAAATCAACCTCCGAGAAACGCGTTAACGAAATAACACGACGTGTCGATTAAAGTAAATTGCGTGATAAGACAACAGATTTGTATGTGATGCAACTCGAATTATAGTAAAATTGTCGACTATATCGCGCGGATATCATGTAAACCGTTTTTTAAGCTTATGGCGCACAATGCATTTTCTCGACGATTTGACAATTCTTTGATTTTCAAATCACAATTGGTCAGTTCTCGCATGTCATCTAGTACAAAAAAAAACATCGAGTGCTCTACCTTCCATCTGTCAACAGTTCTCGCGGCACTTTCAAACCTCTAAATTTTCGGTAAGGATTTTGACACACTGATTTCGACACGATTGAACTCTTCTTCTATAGAAAATTTACTTCTTGAATATCTCGACGATCTTTAACGTTTCACTCGACTTCTCTATCTCTTAACCGGAGATACAACTTAATACATCGCGAGAAACGCCTCGAGTCATGTCATGTCGTGCTTCGGTGGCCGCGACGAGCAGATTTATCTAGCCGAGATATTGATCGATAAACTGACGTTGACACCCCTTATAATCAAAGGCATCGGCGAGCACCCTATCGTGATCAAGATCAGGTTCTTAGACTTGCCCATATTTGAGTTCACGCACGGGGACGACGCGAGACGCGATCAGGACGTGCGTTTCATGACCGGCAGATGTTGTCTTTTCGTCAGACGGCCGCAAGATCTGGTACGGGGGTTACGCTCGATGAACGTGAAGATTGGCGTGTTTTGCAAGGACGACACTTATCCCGTGGAGGAGACCGAATTGACTTTGCCGGGTTGTACGTGCGATCAGCTCGCGATGATCGGCAACGATCCCCAGCATTTGCCGAAACCGTTCGCGGTGAAGGGCGGTTTTCATCTCCTGGATCCCGGCAAAAATCCGTCCGGCACGGTGTACATGGAACTCGCCGTCGTGTGCCTCGGACGAATGCACAAAACACATTACGAGTTGCACGCGATGGACACAGTTACATCGCCCGTAGTCAACGAGGAGAAAAAAAAACGGAGGATTTGTCTGCAGCGATTCGTACCGCTGGATCTTCTGGAATTGCCAAAAGCCCGAGTCGAGAAGGTGGTGAAACCGCCGAAAGATAAAAAGAAAAAAAAGAAAAGAAAAAAGAAGAAAGGCAAAAAGAAGTGACCTCTTTGTGTGAACGTTTTCCAAAAAAAAGGCCGAGCTCTCTGAAGTGTTTATCTTTGTGTCGAGCATTAATTGTATAAATTATTTTCTGTCGCTATGGTAACCGCACTTGACAACTGGAAACGTCAGTTAACCGGTTCGGGATTTAACCGCGCAAGGGAGATCACATTTGATTTCCGATCCGAAACGACGCGCAAAATTAATGGTGCGATACGTACAGGCACATCGTTAACGTCGGTCCGGAGTCTCTCTTTCCAAATTAATCGTGTCGTTCGACTACGCGCGCGCACGCGCGCGCGTGTGTGTGTGTGTGTTTCACGTGCACCGTTATTTATCCGCGCACCAAAAATGGCTCTGAAGAAGAAGAAAGCGCCGAAATCGGAAACGGAACAATTGTACATGCTCGAAATTCTGATCGATCGTCTAAATGTATGCCCCGAGAAGATTGTTAACGATCGAGAATGCGATCTGATGATACGCGCGAGCGTTATCGATCTCGCGCCCGTCGATATGACCGAGGAATCGGCCAAGATTAAAGGCGGAAAAAGTAAGAACCAAGTAAATCGATTTCCCAACGAGAACGTCAACTACGAAGGTAAGACGTGTCTGTTCGTTCGAACACCGAGCAATTTAATACGATCTGTAAAATCGACTCCTTTGAGTGTTGAAGTGTATCGAATTCCTCGCGGAGATAACCGTAACTCGCACGATGACGCTAGTCGTCGGATTCTTCTCTGCGCGACAACGGCGTTTCTGCCTCAGTGTTTCTGCGATCAAGTAGCCGCGTCCAAAGACAAGATAGACGGGCTGTCGAAGTCGTACACAACGAAGGAGATTTACACCTTGAGCGACGAGCGAGGCACTGCCTGCGGATCGATATCTATGTACTTGAGGTTATCGTGCTTCGGAAGCTCAATTATCAATCACATGAGGCTCCACGCGAAATCGTTTGTATTTCGAGGATTTCCCTTTGGTTCGCAGTTTCGTTGCGCGAAATCATCAGACGAGAACGTAAACGAAAAGAAAACGAGAATAAAACAGACCGACGGCAGGTTTTCGTTATTGAATCAAATTTTTAGTCCGGAATGCGCGAGTGTGTGCGATCGAATAGATCAGAACTCGCGTTTTGCGCTGAAGCGACCTTGCGTATCGATGAATCAACCGGGATTCGAGAAACTCACCAGCGCCGAGAAACTCAACGATCGGGAGTATCGCACGTTGATCTACGAAACGTATCCGGACGAGCCAACCTGTTCGTGTTTGCCGACAGACCGATCGACGCATCCGATGATGTGTCGTTCCGGATGCGCTCGCTCTTGTTGCATGGCTCTAAGAAATCCCGACATCCTGAAGAATACCAGCGACAACGTTACGTCGTCGGTTACGAACACTTATCGCGTCGACAATTTGCATTTAAAATCAGGCGTGGAACAAGATATGAATCCTCGCGCACCGACGCAAACGGAAGACGTCGAGGACGGAGAAGAGAACTCGAACAGCAAAGTTCTGCGTTCCGAGGAAACTAATAATAAGTCGAGAGATCGCATGAAAGGCGGAGGTGATTTAGCAGGCGCGTCTTGCGACGCAACCACCACCGTTTTATTTCAAAGAGATCGAAAAAACGATAGCTCGGCGTGCAAATCGCGTCCGAGATTTGCGGCGGGAATCAAGGCGCCCAGTTGCATATGTCCGCGGAAGGATCGGTCGTTTTGGAGAACAGGCACGTACAAATGCACGAAGAAACCTTGCGTGGGCGCGGACTGCATGATACGCGCGTTCAAGGAGGCGCAGGAGTTCGTAGACTCCCTCGGCAAAATAACGTGTATGACGGATCTCGGTCTGATGGATCCTTCCGACAGTCCTTTCTTCGGCAGGGATGTAGACAGGGATTACGCTGTTCACGAAATGCCGAGCGTGACGAAGACCGAAGCGTTCGTTCCGACGACATCGGCATTGCCGATCGTGCAATGTCCCGCTCCTTGTAACACGCAGATCGGCAAACCCATCGGTGCGGTTACACCTTTTGTCCCTTCCGTTTCTGCGGCGATTCCAAAACGACCCGGTGTCGTGGGCGAAGCGATACCGACGTTACCGGACGTAACGACATTGATGCCAGTTAAGTCAAGGAAAAAGGAAGAGAAAAGAGAGGAAAAGCCAGAGAAGCCGAAGGAAACGGACGTGACTCCCGACGGGGCAGCGGTCGACGAAGGCGGTCCTTGCGGCGAACCGAAATGTAAATCTCGCAAAAGAAAACCCGAAATCGATCGAACGATCGAGAAACCGCAGGAAATCGTCGAAGAACCACCGAAAGACGTGGTGCTACCTCCGAAACTACCAAAGAGCAAAATCATTAAACGCGTCGATCGGGGACGACGTCCGAAGAGAAGACCGGGACCAAATGGCGATCAAGACGATCACAGATTTCCCATCAAGATCAGCAAACGAGTGATGCGTTATGTGTACACTATCGGTGACGTTTATCCCGGTATTGTTTACGGTCACAAGAACTGCATCAGTCCGCGAATGCGAGTGCCGTCCAACATGGGCTGGCTGTGGAACACGGGAGCGTCGCTGGGCAAGTTGAAGCCGCGAATCGGCTGGAAACCGGGCGCGATCGGGCGTTACTTGAACGAATTGCTGAAGGAGGCGAAGAGAGGCACTTCTCTGATGGAGGACACTCGGTCAAGGTCGGTGCCCTCGCGCACCACCCAACGACGCAAAGTGTACAAACCCATAAGTTACACGTCGCGCGAGGCGACGAAGGAAGGAGAAGAGAAGACGGAATTTCCGCCGACTCTGCACATCCATCGAAAGGACGGTACGTACTACGTGACGATGTACCCGATCAGGCAGGAAACCTCGGATGAGCCGCAATTGGAAGAGCCGGTGAAGCCGTTGCAGTTCAAGATAATGCGCAACAAGGACGACGCGTCCACCACGTCGAGCTCGACGGCGTCCGACATGGAGATCGAGTTCTCGCCACCGGCGGCGGTTTACAGATATCGTAAAAAACCCGATGTGATTCACGTAGATACGCAAGTTAGACAGCAGGAGATTCTGGACACGTTCAAGATGATGGACGACGTTCCAGAAAGAAAGAAAGAGAAAGAAAGAGAGAAGGAGAAGAAAGATAGAAAACCTACGAAACCTACGAAACCTGCGAAACCTGCAAAACCTGCAAAAGCTGCGAAAAAAGAAATAAAAAAGAAGAAGTAACAAAAACTCTTTCTTTTCATCGGGCTCATTATTTCGATCTTCACGATAGTGAAGGTAAAAAATAGCTTTATCGGAGATTTGCGTTCTCGCAAAGAAATGTAGATATAACGCACGATCGATTGCGTTGTGCGTACTGTTAGCGATATTGATTTTATACATCACGTTGATTATATGTAAAAAAGTAATGTGTGCGATGTTACGCTCGCGTAATTACTACCAACGAATACCCAAAACATTTAATTTTAATTTATTGTTCTAGACAGCGAAATTCGAAATGGCTCACTTTCGTGCCGTGCGCGACATCTCTAGATCACGCGTGTCGAAATTTTGCCGACGCCATTACATCGATGCTATTTATCAACGGAGATTGCAACATCGGTTCTGTTATTTCGCGAATTTCGAACGGAAATGAATGTTATCGTACAGAATAATGCTCTAAACTTACAAAAATGTTCAATCTGCGCGCGATATTCATATAAAAAAGTCTCATACAAAGAGATTGTATTTGTTAATCAAACATTACTTGCTCGCATTTACCGAGAGACTGAAGTTGATCGCCGATTGAAGCTGATTAAAGCTGATTGAAGAGACAACAGATTCCACGCACTGTAATTGCACACGCGTAAACAAAATTTCGACGTACAATTGCAAAAATTCGAACGCGAGATACACCGCCGCGCGCAACACAACTCTAATACGAATTCGAAACGCCGCGCTGGCGCACTACCGCGTCACGGGCGGCATCTGTGGGCTGCGCGCGTCGAAATCTTGCGGACGCCATATTGCAACTCCGTCCATTATCGACGGAGATTAAGAAGGAACCGGCCTTGAACCGTACCCAGTGACATCCTGATTTTTGAAAGCCAAAATGAGTGTCATCGTGCGGGACGATGCTCTGCGCAAGAGGATGCTCGATCTGCGGGATGTCCGCGTAGGAAAAGTCCCGCAGGACTCGCCGTGGATGAGAACCGTTCGTTTGCATTACACGCAAGACGGCCGAAGTAAGGAGTGGGACATAATAAAAATTCACGACAGCGTGAGTATAGTTGTCTTCAACACGAGTCGAAAGAAGCTCGTATTTGTCAGGCAATTTCGGCCAGCGGTGTATTACGCGTGTCTGCCGGAAGGACAAAATACAATCGACACCGAACTCAATCCCGCGACACTCGGTTTGGCTTTGGAGCTCTGCGCTGGCATCATAGACAAGGACAAACCGCTCGTCGAGATTGCGAGGGACGAATTGCTGGAGGAGTGCGGCTACGAGGCGCCAATTTCAGAGTTCAAACAAGTTTGCACTTACTTGTGAGTTTGCGAGTTTACGCAATTTTTTACGTTGTTTTTCACAATGCGCTTTACATTACGATTTTTGTCTGTTTCGGTTATTAAAGAAATGCGTGCGTACGCACATGTTTTTAATATTTATTATTGGTCGATATAGTTGATTGTCAATCTTTGTTGATAGATAAATTTAAAGGATTGTTTTTTCATGTTCCAGATCAAGTGCTTCTGCTAGTGCAAAGCAAACACTTTTCTACGTGGAAGTCACAGATGACATGCACACACATCCTGGTAAGCTTTTTTTTTTGTATTTTTTTCATATTTTTGTAAAAAATAATCTCATAAATTAAAATAATATGTTACAAATGTACACTAAAGGTATTGATTTTGTACTGTAATCAATATATAAAAGTTTCGACAATATAAGCAGGGATTCTTCATTCTGTACGATTCAAATATTTCATCACATTGAAGGCGGTGGTGACGAATCCGAAGGTGAGGTCATAGAGGTGGTGGAATTGAGCATTCCAGAACTAAAGGATTACGTAAAATCCAAGGAAGTACAGAGTCCCTCCAGTTTTCTCTTTGGTGTGTCTTGGTTTTTACTTAATAAACCTGAATACTGTTCATAGATTAAAACTAAAGATCATCCTGCTGGGATATCTAAAATAAAATAAAAAGAACTACAAAGTATATATAGTCAAATAAAAAAGAATAAATCTTTGAAATTATATAATATATACAAGCAAATTATGCGCAAAACTGTGTCATCGTTCAACCGCGTTTATTTACAAATAGAGCATTTATATATATATACACACAAGCAAGGACGAGATAATTGCATAATTCAAATTACGCAAAATCACAAATATTTTAATATTCAATTAATATTCAATTCATCTTTTGTGAATTGAGAGCTAACCCATGCAAGACCCCATTTCAAATTTGTCAATAGGAACTTTAACGCCTTGGTCCATTGTTCTTCCGAATTAAATTGTATTCTGAAAAAAGAAAACACAATAATATTAAATTCTTAAATTATGCAGACAAGTTCTTTGAATGTACAATCAGAAACATGAATATTCAATATTTGTGTAAATATTCAAACATACTTAATAGAATAGGAGTTGCCGGTCGCTGAATCTTCAATCTTGCCTCGATCCATCCTATAAGGCAAACAGAATCCGCTGTCTCCTTTTTCCACTTGCTCCTTAAATTGTTGCAAGCAATCCAAAAATGCCACCATAGCTGCGTCAAATTTTGTGTCCCATAAAAATTTGAATCCTCCGCTTCCGTATAGTGGTAGTTCCTTGTTTTGATCCAGTGCCTCGATATAACTGTGATTACCGAACGGTACTAAACGAAAGCGCTTGAATTTGAGGTTCATTTTGCGTGCGAGCGCCTCTAATAAAAGAGTTGTTTGACCCCATGCCGCATTTATTTCGCTCCAATCCACAGGTGCGCTTGGCAATCGTCCTAGTCGAAACGAATTGATTGTTCCGAAGTGACCTGAATGCCAAATATGAAATGTTGCATTGAACACGTTTGTTTTTTTCAATCTGTCGAGCTGTGAAGATGCGTATACCAACTGATTATCCAAACTGCAACAATATAGAATTTTAATTTTATGTAATAGAAATAAAATTACTTATCTTGTTTTTTAATATGCGTGAAAAAACAAAATGTTTTTTAGGATATCTATCTAATTACCTGCGACACTCATCTTCAGCTAACATGACATCTCTTTTGTGCTTTGTATACTCTTTCCAGTACCTGTCTTCTTCGCTTTGCAACCTCTCTTTTTCTCTCTCTTGTTCCGCTATGGCATTCCTAGTGGCTATCTCTTCCTTTCTCAAGGCTTCTAGTTCTCTTATCATTCTCTCTTCTTCAGCCTTTACATCTTGCAATTCCTTTGTGAGATTTTCCATTTCCACATCCTCGTTTCCTCTATATTGTTGCTCCATCTCTAGTTTCTTCAGGTACTCATTATAATCTGACCATTCTCCCTCTGTCATTCGCAATTGCTGATCCATATATAATAAAAGACTATCTGTGCATTCATCACAAAGTGGATGATCTGCCGAACTACTGCTACTGAGAATATCAAATAACGTAGCTTGCACCTACAAGATCAGATTGTAACATGTGTACACGTATATATATAATATAAGCGTAGCAAATTGAGGAATCAAGAATGCGTTAAGCGAAAGTAGCAGAATGTTTCTTTTTCTGAAAAAAAAAGCTGTGAAGTTTCTCAGCACAAATGTCAGAAGAGATGCTGAGAAATGCCACAAAAAAAAAGTCAACCATTGTAGATTTTACAACTACGTGTCTAAATTATACCTGCAGTACCTTTAAGTGACGACTTAAGCTTTCTGTTTCGCCAGAATCACCACCAACCAATGTGAATCCATTTGTACCATTTCCCGATTCGATAAATCGGAATGGTTGAACAAAATGTTCTATGCTGTCGCTTTGTGGTTCCAGTTCTCCGACAACTTGTTGTTGTATAGGTACTACAATGACAATTCTTTACATCTCACTATGTACAAAACTTTTTCTTGTTCAGATAAAAATTTAGAATAAAACTTGTATCTTGCTCGATATTTGTATATAAGCAAAATTATATAGAATAATTAAAACGCATTCTACAAAACTCAAGCATACTGTTTTATGTATTATATATATATATATATATATATATATCCTGAATAATAACTGTCACTACAGAATAATATATAGTTGAGATGAGACATGCTATCTGCGTTATCCGTATCTATTTAATAAAGACTCTTATGTTTGCGCAGAAAGATTAATTTAATGAGATTTTTATAATACATTTTTCTAAATATCATTGAGACATATTATAATCACAAGCAAGTAGAAAGAAAAGAACTGTCAAGTTGGCGAATTGGGCAATCAGAATTCGATGATGCACGTCAAATCGCCGATACAAAACAGAAATTACCTACGTGAGAGTTCAGCCAGTGTGTGTTCCCCGAGATGATCGAAGCTGGAGTCCAGCTTCAGAGGCTGTAAACATCGTTGACACACGAAACTAACGTTTGTCTTTAGATCTACCATTGTTTTTGTTGACTTGACGAAGAGAGCTGCTGCAATACAACCTGTCCGAGCGCGTCGTTATTTACGAATGCGCATCTACCGTTGTTGCGATGCTAGCATGTCAGCTGACGATGACTTACCAAGCGACCGAGAGTTAGCGCTGAGCTCTCATTTTTAGTAGTGATTTTCTGTTCCCAGACAATGATCACTTGTCTGAAAGACGTCTGAAAACATTGAGGCCCGAATTCATAGTCGTCTCTCAGATCTCAGATCTCATCTCATCTCTTTCCCTCTCTTTTTCTCTCTCTCTTTCTCTTTCTCTTGAGATCTGAGATCTGAGATCTGAGAGACGACTATGAATTCGGGCCTGAAATACCTGTTTCTCAAACCCCTGAAAGACAAGCGTTGTTGTTCGGATTGAATCGGTAAAAGAGTAACTGTCATTCCGATTGATTTGGTTCTGTTCCGTGCTGTGTGTACACACGCGCGCGCGCGCGTCGATTCGATATATTCGAGAATCGAAATACATCGCGCTTCGATATACTCGGAATTGGCGGGCAGTCATGGCGGACGCGCGACGCGTATCAGAACTACGTGAGACTTGTCCGGCACTTTTCGCGAGTTTTATCACGTTTCGCGCGCAAATATCTGTAGCACGCGTGTGTCGCAAAGTATCGGGCGTAGTGATACGTAATTAGCATCGCGCACTCGCTGGTAACGTTAATCGCCGAGTTAAGTTGCCGTTGAAATCGCAATGGTGATCGTTGGCGCTTCCGCGAGTTGCGCACAGAGCAAAATACAATTTAACACAACGCGCGATTGTCTAGTAACAGGTATCATCTCTTTTTACATCATTATTTGTAAATCTTATCTTTTTTAGTTTTTTAAAAACATTATAGTTATGTATATGAATTCTTTAAAAAGAGATTCTTTGTAAAAAGAACTTCTTGATGAAATAATCAAGAATTTACACACACACACACACATACATGTGTAAATCATAGACACTAAATAGAACTACTGAATGGAACCAAAACACAATATGATAAACATATATATGCGGTTATTATTGTGTTGATGTTACCAATGACCGATCACTTATGTTTATGTTGCAGGAAACTACAATACAACCGGAAACTTCTGGAGTAAGCTGCTTCGCGGTGGGACACAGAGTGCTGGGTGAGTATCAGTAAACTGTTGCATTCTAGTAGTAAAGATTGTTAAAAGCAATAAAGTAGATAATTAAAAGCAATAAAGTGGATCTTTGTGTATTTGTTTGATCAGATTTTATGACCGATCACTTATGTGTATATTGCAGGAAACTACAGTACAACCGGGAACTTTTGGAGTAAGCTGCTTGGGACACAGAGAGCGCTAGGTGAGTGTCAATAAACTGCTGCACTCTAGTAGTGAAGATTTTTTAAATTGAAAGCAAGACAGTAGAGCTTTGTATATTTATTTTTGTCGGATTTTATTACCGATTATGTTTTTGTTGCAGCAGAAATAGAAAAATTTTTTTATCGGGGTAAATTTATTTTCTGTTAACGCGAAAATATTGTAATATTCTACATATAAAAATTCTTTCTGAAAAGATATTGAAAATCAATATTACACAATTACACACTCGCAAAGTTTTGAGTAAAACATATTAATTTGACGACATCGTAAATGGAAATATCGTAGAAATTTTCTAAACGATCCAAAAATATTTCACAGATTACAGAGCTTTACTTTTGCTATATTTTCACACGATTTAACAAACTTATGTTGCGTTTCCGTCGTTACATAAATATGCGCATTAGAAATTCTCACTTGTAAGCGCAAAGTTTATACGACACGGCGAGGAAATTTCCGTCACTCCTTGGTGACAGAGAGCACAATCGAATTTTATATTTATATGACTGCCGGTAGCCGATTGCCGTACAGTTACTAGCTTATGCTAATTCCGATGAGCGTGTCTCTCCGCGCTTTAAGCGATATTTCGTCATATGTGCATAAATATTGAGTAGCTGCCAGGGATCAACAGGTGGCAGCTCGTTTCTGGCTTCTTCTCGCTCGCGCGTTATAACTTTGAGTTTCACGCGCATTCATCACCGGTGTCCATTAGCCAAGCGCGCGCAATAACAATCGGTTTCCAAATGTAACCGCGACGCGCGCGATGCTTTCGCACGCCGTGTACTTCTCTAATAACGGCTACGACCCCCATCTTCCTTCTTGTCTACCGTCGGTGAATTATTATGCGCGAGAGCTTTTTGCCAACGCGCGCTTTTTCTATCGCATCGCGCGCTCGAGAAGCGCGACGAATCGCCAACTCAAGCACGTCGCTCATTCGGAATCTGCCTGCCCTTCTCTCTCTCTTTCTCTCTTTCTCTTTCCGATGTTGCGTCCGAGATTAAATACAAAACCAAAAAGGTATTTAATAAACCGCGTGCTCGAGATGCCGGTTGTATCTCGCACGGAATTACAATCGAAACTAAAAGAAAACGTGACAAACATTCGGTGTCGCGGTGTACCTGCAAACTTTTCGATCGTATTCCGAAATAAAATTAAAAAGAAAAAAAGAGATGTGTATCTCTCTCAAACAAATTAGGAGTTTTAGTTTTCTGTACATTCGAATATGTGAAATGCACAATTTTTAACGAATGATACATTAGAGTGATTCAAGTAACGATGTATTAGGGACTTATTATTTTTCACCCAGTGTTTTTGTTTTGTTTTTTTTCTTTTTCTTGGTTTAGTAACGCAAAACATCTGCGTCAATTAATCGCGCAAGATTTATTCCATTACCATTTTTGCTGACTGCACCGTGGTATACCCGTTTAAGAAAAAAGAAAAAGAACTAATGTAAATTGCATTAGGAAGTTTAATTACTTATCGGGAGTGAGTTTCGCACATCGCGGGCGAACGAGCGAAGATAAATCCGCGAGGGTAGCCTTGCATTAGTGCGCATATTTGTCATGCATCGTGCACTCGAGCATTCTTGCAACGCCTCGCGGCCAGACAACTTGGTTGTAACCGTGATTACATTGGAAAGCAACGAACAGAGAGACGAACGAACTACATCCTGTAAGTCTAATAATACACCATATTTCCGCTCAGCAAATGCACTGCAAATAGATGACCGTGCTGCTCTCGTAATTTGCCGCTTCTTAGGATTACATCAACACATTAATATGCCATTACTTCGCAACTACATTTAACACTTCGCGTTGAAAGAGAAAAAATATCCGAGAGAAAGAGAGAATTTACATCGGAACGCGCGGTGTAAATATTTTTTTAAACGTATTTTTAATGTTCCCTCTATCCCCCTCTACTTAAGAAACAATATAAGATATATCGTCGTGCCTTCTTACGTCAAAAAGACAGCGATATTTATAACGCAAGTTCGACTTTGTTTTGCGGAACACGTTAAGGATCAATAATCAATACCATATAACTTTCCATAAATTTGCTTATAAAGTTAGATTATTTATTTATTGTTACTGCGAATATATTGCCCATGATGACTATTATATCACCTCGCATCGCGGCTTTCTCGAGCAATTAATTGTCTCGTTTTCCGTCATCACCGCTTGTCCACTCTCTATGTAAATCGTCGTGTTTATTACGCGGATCAAATTATTCACGACAACACGTATGCATAAAAATTTGCGTCGATCGAGTGTCTCTCTCATCGAGTCACGTTCCGTCGCGCATCGTTCGCCGCGCTTTGTTCGTCGCGTAATCGCGCGCGGAAATTGCGACAAGAAGAGCGCGAGAGTGCGTGGCCCCGCTCGCAACACGTGCAACTTGGTGCGCCGCGCGCGTTGCGGCACGTCGGCGCGAAGATCGGCGCGGAGTGAAGGGAAATAACCGTGGATAGGGTGGGCGGCGACCGCTCGAAATGTAGGAGTGCCGTAGGGGCTTCTCCGACGAGAAACGAAGTCCGTTGAGTTTGAGCCGAGGTGAGTGAAGCGCGGGCGTCACGACGACATCGGCCGGTCTCCGCCAATCCGTCCCTCAGCGGCCATGTTGGCCGTGTACCTGGGGCGGAGCGCCGAGCGCGCCCGTTCGTTCTCTCCGTCCTCGTCACGTGTTTCACGCTCGAGATCCTCTCTCCTACTCCATCTTCTCCTTCTCCTCGTCTCGTTCTCGATCTCTTTCTCCTCAGTCTCCTCCGCCTCGTGACTTCGTTCTCTTCTTCTTCGTCTTCTCCCTTGTGTGGCTTCTTCTTCTTCTTTACCGCGCCGCGTTATCGCAAGATTCTCTCTGTCTCTGCTTTGGACTGGCGGGTTCGTGGACGCATCCGATCGCAGGTTGCACTCGCACTGCACCTGTGGACGCTGACGTAACGCCGCGGCGGTAGCGGCGGTTCGTTCTCGACGGTGATGATACAAGAGAAAAGTATGAGAAACGCTACTTCTTCGATAATGTTTTAATTTCGGATCGCGTAGTATAAGTTTTTTTTTATAAATTTTCGGCAAAACTCGACGCATTTGTTTGGAAGCGCAAATGTATTTGAAAAAGAAAAAGGAGTTATCTGATTTAGGAGCGAGTCGCATTCGGTATAATCGCAAGATGCACTCTCGCAAACGAAATTCTCTTTCTCCGTTCATCTCTCGCTCTTTCGTTGTACACGTCGACTGATTTACGACGCGTTCACTTTGCCGACGAGCATAGGAGCTTGCACCAACGTGTGCAAGCGGCAACGACAAGCTCGCACTCGGCGTTTGTTTCGTTTTACGATTACGCGAATCGCGTGTAATTGCCGGTTCCGACCTGGCCGGCGGCCTTCAACTTCGTTTCTCCGCGGCGCGTCAACTGTCCCATAGATCTTCGCGTCGACGAAAGAGAGCCGAAGTATAATTGCATGGGGAATCGGTCGAGCCAAGTGCAATTATAATACCGACGCGAAATTATGCACGCGAGTCGCGACCGACGATTGCACTTCTGGCGATCCATCGGAAGAAGCCTATTATTTAGCCGCTTACGAATCAATTAGCGCGATAGGCGTATCCGCGATCTCACACGGAGAGACGAGCTCCGCTTTCGGAGATTGCCCGTCCGAAAGGTTCTCGAAGTGATTACATGACGTACGAGATCGCGCTCCAAAATTAATTTCTCGCGACTTAACGCAATTATTAATTATATTTTCTGCGTCACGCGATTGATTACCCGTGTGAATTTTTCCTC